CTCTCTCTCTCTCTCTCTCTCTCTCTCTCTCTCTCTCTCTCTCTCTCTCTGTGTGTGTGTGTGTGTGTGTGTGTGTGTGTGTGTGTGTGTGCCTTAATATATATACAAATTAAAAAAATTATATTCATGGGCATGTCCTGGCAGAGCCTAGATGAGGCTTGACACGTCTGCATGAGAAGTTGAAAACAATGAAAAGTATGATTAATGAACTAACTGTGAATTGCATGAGAAGTTGAAAACAATGGTGATGGTGCAGATTATGACGAATATAAAGATGACGAAGAGGATGTAACCAGAGAAGATGATGGTGATTGAGATTGTGACGACGATGAAGATGAAGAAGACGATGTCATCAGAGAAGTTGCCGGCTGCGATCATGTGATCAATGGTACGAGATGTTCCGTATCTTACCAAGCGCTTTTTTTTCCTTCTGTTTTTTTTTTTTTTCTGGTGAGAGGGCGAAGGGTGCTGGGTGATAACTGTCGGACATATCTTCCTTTTTTATTTGGCGGTAGTGGGGAGGGGGGGAGGAAGAGGGGGGTGGAAATTGTCGGATTCATCTCCCATTTGTTTAGTTCTTTATTCGGGGGGGTAATTGTCGGATTTACTAGTATGTTATCTGTTTTTTGTTGTGAATTCAGAGTAGAATGCCGCGCGCAGCAAAAAAATAGAATACGGCACACAGGAATTGGATTATCTGTTAGCCTGGAAGGGGAATGTTTTTTTTTTTTCGGTGAGTGTTTTGTTATGCGTTTGATTGAATTGCAATCAAACTCTGCAGCCAAATGTTCCCATACACATCTGCACTGACAGGAAGACTGGTGAATGTAGGGAGAGAGAGTGCACAGCGGAAGCACACTCCACAAAAAGAATCTAGAAATTGTTTTATCAATTCTTAAATTTCCCCCAGCTCTGGCCCCGCCGCAATCACGTTTTATCCACAAGAATCTCAACCGCGATTAAAACTACAGCACCCCTTCAACCCCCAACAGTTTCAATTAAAGAACCCTGAAACTTCTTCTTCCTCCCACTTCGGTATCACCCGGCTATGGCGCAGTCCYGACTGCTGCCTSCATCCTRTACGGTCCAGCAAGTACTAGCGCTGACCCAACGCCCATTCCAATCCCCGCCAATCAGGTGGYGCCTCCTGGAATAGCAGCGCCAGTCCCTGTGACGAAGAAGACCATGCCGGCAGCTATGGAGAGCGAGGTGGCAACTCCAACCACCAAACAGCACCACGATGATGAGGACACACAGCGCCAAGTGAACCTCCACCTAGGCTGCTTCAAAGAACTGGGCAAGCCCCAGCTATGGCCGCCCACACACCAAGAAGAAGGAGGTGCCACCTCTGCGCCCTGGACGTACCGCAGCCCATTCCCTCAACATTGCCAACCACTAAAATGAGGGAAAAGAACCGACAAAAATTTGCCCTCACGACTATTTCTCCACTCAGCCTCGACCTACCGGACCCTAAGCTTAGGGTAGGGCCCCACAGGAATGCGGAAAGGAAAAACTTTGCCGCGGAAGTGTTTGCGGGACCCCACACCTCGCGGAAAAGTTTATGGAAAGGCCGAAATGTCTTCCAAAAACCGTTTTCAAAAACCGTATTCCGGGACCCCACGGCCCGCATTTCGTGGCCTGGAAGATCGCCTGTGGACATTTTCACATGGTACGCCGTCTGGAAAACGGCGAATGGAGGAAATGACGCCGCAAATTTGTGCCAAGAGCTGAGGTCCGCCCCAGAGTCGTCTTGAACTTTTCCAAAACCAGGTCCCGTGGACGAACGGATTGTCCGTCCATGCAATGTCGGACGTCGGTGAAACATGTGACCATGAACCGAGTTGTCGCACGGCGGTACCGGGCCCGGGGCCTTCCGTCCCATTGCGCCTGCAAAAAACATGGTCCGTGGTCTGGAAAACGGCAAATGGAGGAAATGACGCCGCAAATTTGTGCCAAAAGCTGAGGTCCGCCCCAGAGTCGTCTTGAACTTTTCCAAAACCAGGTCCCGTGGACGAACCACGGATTGTCCGTCCATGCAATGTCGGACGTCGGTGGAACATGTGACCGTGAACCGAGTTGTCGCACGGCGGTACCGGGCCCGGGGCCTTCCGTCCCAGTGCGTCTGCATAAAAAACCAAAAAATCGGGCGGGAAACAGTCTGCCAATTCGAATTTCGAATTGGCGGCTGCATGCCGTTGTTGTCATCTGCCCGCCGACGTCCATCGATCGTGCAGCCAGCAAGCTTTAGTGACAGTCATCTGCATGCGAGCGCGTATTGATAGCCATCGCCCAAGGCTGGTTGTGCCTCTGTGTCGTCGCCCCATTGCCCACCGGATTCCATGCACGTCTTCCGCCAACGACATCGTCGTCCTGCAGTGTGGACGTCGGCATGCCGACGTGGACATGCCATCGCCGACAAGTACGTGCATGCCGGGAGGTTGTCTGACCGCAGAACGGTCCCCAACACTGTTGGGTGTTTGCAGAGCATTGTTGCGGAAACCTATGCCTCCGTGACTCGCCCATCTCCCGTGCACGTGGCAGCCCCTGTGGCGGTCAACATCGGTGGTGAAGTGCTCCGTGACATCCGTCCTGCATTCGTCTGTCGTGGAAGGCGGAGCTTGATACCGGATGTTGCCAACGTGGCGGGTGCTGTTCCACGTTTTGCTGGCCGCATCATAGTGCGTGACGATCGCTTGCCAGAGCGGCACGGCCAACGTGCTGGGGCGTTGGACGGATGGTCGTCCGTTGGTGGTGCACCGGTGCCGGCTTCTGTGCATCGCTTTCCCTGTGCAGACAGGAACGCTGCTGTGGAAGGGTTCGGATCGGTTGCCATCCAATTGGCCGGCCATCGTGGTTGTCGTCATTGACGACAACAACCGACACTCGTCTTTGTTGGGCGTGCTTGTTTGGGGGGTGGTGATTGTTGCATCTGCATTTTTAGCTTTACTTGCCTTGTGGGGGATTGCTGCATTCCTTCTCGCTATTGTTTTACCACACGGCGGTAGATCTGTGGGACTTCTCCACAGTGCCGTCGTTGGGTGGGGTGCATCAATGGATGGCCGCAGTTTTACTGACGAGTTGTACGGTGATGTGGCAGGGTCGTGTAACTATCACGAACTGGGGGGAGAGGGGAGCGAATCTGCGCAACGGAGGTTCGAGGGATGTCTTCCACCCTCGTCGTGGAGCCACTTGTCGCAGCAAACGCCCGACTTTCAATATCCTGAGGCTATTTGTGCCCAATTTCAGCACAATGGCGGCATGTACACCCAGACGTCCGCATCTGGTGCCGTTTGAATGTCGCTGCCAGACATCGACCGACAGCTATGAAACCGCGCGCTGATTGAGCACGTGGTCGGCGCTGAAGTTTTTGAGCGCCGCTCAATACCGCGCTCAAAGCGCCTTGAGCGGGGTTTGAGCAGGCACGGGGACATTTTTTGGGGGGGTAAAAAATGCTCAAAAAAAAAAACAAAAAATATAGGGTTGTAGATCTTTTACCCTTTGTTTTTTATTTTATTTTTTGAAGTGCTTCTACATTTTTAAAAAATCAAAAACATAAAAAGAAAGAAGAAAACAAAAAAGAAGGATGAAATGGGTGGGTTTTTCTTTTTTTTTCAGGGAGATTGTTTGGTAGGCAACCAATAAACAAAAAAAAATATGTATATATATAAGGTTGTAGATCTTTTGGAGATCTACAACCCCATTTTTTATTTTTATTTTTATTTTTGAAGTTCATATGTATTTAAAAAAAAATGAAAAACACAAAAAACAGAAAAAAAAAATCAAAACACACTGAGTCTCATAGACAACCGCCCCCACAAACACACACACGTACACACACACACACACACACACACACATACACACCTCCCCCCACAAACACACACACATACGCACACACACACACACACACACACACACACACTCACACATATACACATACACATAAACACAAACACAAACACAAACACAAACACACACATGCACGCACACACGCACACACACATGCACACACACACACACACACGCACCCCCCACCCTCCCAACCAACCAACCTTCCCCCCCCACAAAAAATCACCCCCACCCCCCTATTCTTTTTTCCCACGCAACTCACCCTACGACATCCCCTGCACTCGTGCAACCCCCTCAGGTGCACAGGTTTTTTTTGTTTTTTTTGAGCACTTTGAGCGGGGGGGGGGGGGATAAAGCGCGCACGCTCGCGCTTACGCGCGCTCATACGTTTTCATAGCCAGACAGGGCATAGGTTCAGTGCCAGCAAACACCGCGGGGCAACGGGCGTACCTTTCGTACGATCATTGGGGAGGGTCACGTCCCATGGACGTGCGAGTGAGGGGTTCGGAATCCCCGGATCAGTCCCCGATCCCGCAGGGTTCCCGCCAGCGGCCTCCTACAATGTCGAACCTCTCGCCGTTGTCCGCGCAGAAGGGGGGGGGGGGACAAACATCCAATGAGGTGTTTCCATCACCCCTATCCGAACGACGGTCGACGCAGCTTCGTTCACATCAAACCAGTGCTGCGCGTCATGGCGGAGGGCATGCATCTGCAGGCGGGGTGGGGGATGGGTTGATGCACTTCAGAACGCATGCCGAGGGTCACTTGCGGAGAGCGGAGGTTGGCGGTGAGGCGAGAGGTGATGGCACAACTGGACATAGCACGCCCAGCCCGCCAAGCCGGGAAGTTCGTGCTCCTGGGGGAGAATGCAGGAACGCAACAGCAAAAGAGTACATGCACGACATGGGCGGTGAAAGTTGGGAGTGTGGAGGGGACTGACCGGAGGATGGGGGCGATGGTCTGGAAGGTTCCGTGGTCGGAAGTGCAGGACCGGTGCCGGTCACTGCCGCTGCCTCTTTCAAGGGACGACAGGCAGGCAAGAACGTGCCACCTGCAAGTGGATCGCGGCGGAAGGGGGCGAAGGGTCCCCCGAAGAAGAACAGTCCTTGGACATTGAAGGAGAGAGTGAAGTTCGTTGTGGTGTGTGCTGAGGATGACGCCCTTATGGCTGATGCGGAAGTTCCTCAGCGAAACATGACGAGAAGCAGAAGATGGGACTGGACCGCCCGACCGAATGAGAGAGGAGGGGCACTCAAGGACTGTGGAGCAGTGTCGTACCCCCGTTCACCGTTCACGGGGTCTGTGGACGGAGACCGGTCATGGAGTTCACGGCGTTCATGACATGGGAGTTCATGGAGTTCACGGAGAGCGTTTTTTTTTTTTGGCTGGGGGGGTATTTTTTTTTTAATAGGAGGGTGGGGGACATCGAAGGGTAACTCCCTATAATTTTTTCAAAAAAACAAATTCACGAATAACTAGGCTACCAGAGTGGCCCGGGGTCACTTGTCCGGCCGGGCCAAAAAAAAAGAAAATAATAAAATAAAAACAAATATTTCATTATTTTATTTTTTATTTTAAATTTGGTAAATAATTTCGATATGACCGGGAGGCAAAAGTTGTTCAGTTTATTTTTCTGCATAAAATAGTTTTTTTCCGGATTTTTTGGAGTTTTTTTTTTTCTTTTTTTTTTTTTGCTGGGACCTTCTCTGGTCCTTGCACGGGCTGGCCACCCGGGACCCGGGCGGCCCGGCTGGTAGCCTAGACGAATAATATATTTTTTTAATTAAAAATGAAAAAAAAAAATCAACCAGCCAAAATAAGCATTTTTGTTTGCTATTTTGTAGGTCATTTCGATTTTTTTATATTTTTTCAAT